CTAATAATGCACAATATATTGCTTATTATTTGCAAATAATTGCATACCTCGAAATTATCAGATTTTTGTAAAGTACATTGTAATGTATTTATAATTAGTAAAAACTAGAGTGTGGCGACTTAGTGAAGTGGTTAAGTTGTCACCTCCCAAGCAGCACATCTAAGGTTCGATTCCTGTTGTCAATGAATTTTTGAATTTCTATCTGTATAATAGCTATGATCTTCCCAGTTGGGGCTGTGTTATATACAGTGCTCATTAAAGTTGGGGCTCAGTCCTGTAACCCGGTATACACCAACTTAACCAAATTGTGAGAACCCATAGGGTATTCGTATAATGTATAAGTTATACAAAGGTATGCAAGCTAACAAAGAGTGGTGCAAACCTATAATAAGTCCTTATGACCAGATAATTCCTGAGAACTTTGGCAAGATCAATGCCTGTTTAGCAAGACTTGAGTGTCTGGGTGAACTCTATAAGGGCAGGATAATTCAGAAGTAGTATAATCTGCTCATAAAGGTATAGAATTTATCCGATAAAGAATTCTCCTGGAGTTGATCTATGGCTGCCGGGTTTGCTAGTGGAAAGGGATCATCTTTTTGGCCATTATACAACCTGAAAAAATCTAGGCCAGACATTAAGTAACAGGCAGAATGGATGGCACTAGTTAAATATCTTCTTCCCTTATTATAACTAGTTGTACTTTAAATTAGTTCCTTAATAGGAGATCATCTAAAGTGGAGTCACGTCATATGATCAATAGCTAATAAAATTACAGAAGTTGGATGATCGCTAGTAAAGCAAAAAATACAAAAAATACAAAAAATACAAAAAATAGCAGTTTAAACCTACCTTAGGTAGTTAATCAAAAATGTCAGGAAGGCAATTTTGCTTATATTTATCTACTAAAACCTAGCCTAACCCCAATATAGAAGACCTAACCCTAAAGTTAATCGAAAAAATTATTAAATATGAGTTATCTCCACTTTAAACATCCTCTTTAATAGAAAATAAGGGGTGATTTGCTACATGAAAATGGTTATACGAGATAAATAAATAGTTAGAATAGTATTGTCTTGATACAAAAATTGTAACTAATATCATATATATTGGCAAAATCAAAAAATAAAAAAAAAAATAATAATAATTAGTAAAAACTAATAAAGTTACAGAGGGTAAGACCTTGTTTACAAAACATTAAAAAAAACATAATAATCTTATTTTAAGATTAACAATTCAATTTTTTGCATTGTTTGCAAATAATAACCATGGCCAAAATGCAATTACATTGTGAAATATAACTATAATTAGATAGTACTGACAAGGTAAGTAGCTGCCAGCTGATGACCAAAGGGAAATAAGTCCTTAATAAGTTAAGAATCCAAAGAGAGACCAAAGACTACTGAGTCAGATTGCACCTAGACTAAAGCTATAGGCGAGTCTCTTGTTTGGTTAGATTAGTAATGGCTATAAATAGTAATGTAAATTTCTAAAATAGCTTAATCTTAAATAAACAGAGGCAGGATTGCTGAATTATAAAAAAAAATAAAATTGCATATATTCTAAAATTTTCATGTAACCTAAAGAACTTTTATTAATTTACTTCTGCACATTATAAAATTTTTTTCTGAATTACATGAAATTTCAAAATATGTATAATTTATTATTTCGAACAACTTAAGACATAAATATTAATTGAATTAATAAGATTTTGACTTTAATATATAGCTATGATTATCGATTAGGAAGTAATAAAGTTTTTGATAACTTTTATAAATTATTTTATATGCAAATGACCTAATGTGAACTTAATAACCAAATGATCTCATCATGGTTTGATGATTTGGGTTATTTAAATTTCGATCAAATGACCAGGTAATGTTCTATTCCTGGGTTGGGTCGGGTATATGAATTTTATTGGGATTGATAAATACCTAGCCAAGCCCAACTCGAAATTATATGTATTATCGTTATGCAATTAAAGTTGATCAATCAACGTAGAACAAATTAGATCTGGGATACAACTCTATATGCACAATGCCTTAATGACTAAATGACCCTCAAACATTTCTAAATGACCATGGTCATTTGGTCACGGTCATTTTCAAATGACCTAAAATTGAAATGACTGACAATGACCGGTCATTTCGGGGTCATTTGAGTCATTTAAAAAATTTGCAAATGGCCAGGTCATTTATCATCACTGTTATCAGGTAACTTTAGTTAGGGTGAAAATAGAAATATTACTTTAAATGTATTGATAATAATAATATAAAAGTTGAAACAATTAAATTATTTTTTAGTTGAATTATATTTTAAGCTGTTATTGAAGTAGAGTATACATATTGATATATTTTTGATATATTTTTTTAGCTATTTTAGTAAATCTTTAAGGATTTTATTTTAGCTAGATTTGGTCGAAAGTATCTTGTATTTGATCTATATTATTAATTTTTTGTAACTTACATGTTTGTTTTGACAGTAAAGGTTCATACAAATATCAGTAAACTTACATTTTGGTTGTCTATAACCATAATATAATATTCTTTGAATTATTAAATGTTTAAAAATCTAAAATTAATCAATATATGAATTATCTATTTATGTTAAAGACTAATAAATATGTTTATTACGAATTTTGTCCCACATTTAGTATAATATACAAAAACAAACAAATAACAATGGAAATTCTTCATTTCACCAATGGTTTTTCATCACCACATATAGTTTTAGGGTTAGGGCGCAATTTTAAAACCAAAGAGGGTCAGTAAAAATAGACCAAATTTTAGGTTAGACAAGGTTTTCAGGGATTCCGAACATTTTTACTTAATACATCTGACCCCTGTTTTTTAGTACGTTTTTGAGATATTGCATACTAGTGATGATCACCAGTGGTGATAAATAGCAAACCTCATATTTACTTCTTAGCCTTTTCAGCTTTAATTTTTTCCCACAATTGAATAGCCTTAGGCAGACCTTTTAAAGCTGCTAATTTAATATATGGTTCTGCTTTTACTTTATCAACCGGAACCCCAAGCTTTCCATTCCAATAAATATCACCCAAGTTAAAAAGTGCAGTACGATTTTCATTATCAGCCGCCATAGTCATATACTTAATTATTTCTTGTACTTTCATCTCATTTAGATCTTCTTTATTTTCAAGAAGAGCAAATGCATATCGAAGTTGAGCATCAGGTATACCATTATCGGCAGCTTCTTTAAAGAGCTTAAGCGCAGCTTGATAATCCTTTTCTACACCCCAACCGCTTAATAAATAATAAGCTTGCCAATACTTTGCCATGTTATTTCCAAGTTTTGCATGACCTACAAAACACTCCCAAGCAATATCGTGCTTTTTTTCTTTGTGAGCTTTAATACCTTCTTCAAAAAGCATCAAGGGTTTTATTATAGGTATCGTGTAATTATCTAAATCAAGTCCACATTCATCAGGTGTTTCAAATTGTTCATTAAATTGTTGAGAATCGGTGTTAATGCTAACCTTTTCTAGTCTTAAATTTTCAAAAGAGTCGTATTTTTTTGGATGTACTTGAGGGGAAATTCCTTTAGAAAACACATGCTCATTAAAAAGGTCTTTAAGTTTTTGTTGCATTTCTATGTCCGAAGGACGTGCTGAAGGTTCATCTTCCCAAGCTTGATAAATAAAAACAATTTTTACGTGGATTTTAAATGAGCAATTAAATTGATAATTTAAAATAAATGCAAATTACATTACAAAGATAATTTACCTCTTTTAATGAGCTTATAAAGCTCTCTTGGAATTGGTGATGGATCAAGTATGTTTTCAAGAACTTCTCGCTTTTTATTTACAACATGATCTTGGATACTACTCACATCCATATCCTTATAAGGAAACCTTTGATGACAAAGTTCCCAAAGCATCAGTCCAAAACTAATGATCAAAAAACCAAGTGTTAAGTAAATTTATAAAATGTTGCAATGTTACAATGCTAAGCTTGTTATATGTTTTCATTACCTGTACATTTCACAGTGATGATTATATCTTTGTTGTTGAGATTTTGAAGGTTTTCGCATCTTTTCAGGTGCTAACCATCGAATAATATCTGCTAGCGTTAGAATTTCTGAAGATCTACCCTGTATAGGACGACTGAGTTCGAAATTTGAAATTTTAGGCTCAAATCTATCAGTGACCTGTTATTTATTTATTTAAAAAAAAAAATTCAATAAGTTGTCAATAAGTTTATAGAATTCATAAGCTACCAATTATTAGTTTAACAATTATTAATCAATTAGTCAGTCAACTGAAACTATTAGTCACCAATTGACTAAAAATCGAATTGACAAACCAATTTTTTTTGAATTATATATGTACCAAGATATTTTCGCAACGAACGTCATGATGATAAAGATTACATTGATGCATGAATACTAGACCGTTAAAAATATCACGTGCGAACTGCAATTTTGTAGGCCAACCAATATCAAATTTTAAATACATTTCGCGTAGATTACTATGTGCAGCCCAATCATAAATCATGACTTGACTATTATCCACATACGACATCCCATAAAAGTTGATAATATACGGACAAACACCTAATTTAAGAATTGCTGCTAATTCGATTTGTTGTATTTTATTAAGTGCTTTCTCGACTTTTTCATCGCTCCTTGCTGGTCCGGAATCGGTAACTTTATTAAATTGAACTTTTTTACATGCAACTTCTATTCCACGGAAAATTTTTTTATGGACAGTTTTATTGGAACCACGAACGTTATCATTAGAAGCATATGGTTCTGATAATTCAATTGGATCTACTCTAGGAGCTTTGTATTCTTCGATCAGGGGACCTGTTTTATCCACGGGATTACCACTCTTGATTTGTGAACCTAATTGATTGGCATTTGACATCAATGTAGTAACTTCCGTTATTGCTAACCTTATTTCAGCCTTGATTTCATCCTTCATTTCATTCATTGACTATAGTGCATTAAGGTTCACACATAATGTATTGGAGAATAAAAAAGGATTTATAGATTAAGATAAAATGATTGATTCAAACTCACAGCCATACTGTACCTTTTTCATAATCTCAAGATCTTCTGCCACATTTTTCGCTTCCATTTCTTTTTGTTCAGCATTATATAAAGCCATAGTAAAATTTAAATCACTACAAACTTCTTCAAACTCTTTAATATTTTTTTCAAATGAATATTTAACTGCATTAGCATTTAAAAACTTTTGAAAATATGTCAACTGCGTAACTTCTTTAGAAAATTTCCTAATATTATCCAGGACATTAACAAATCTGACCCAAGCATAATAATAGTTTTGATCTCTAAAATTTTTTTCATTTGCTTTATATTTTCGTTGCAATGATTTAACAGCCGTTTGTGCAATTTCAACACGATCTAATAGAGCCATACATATTTTTTCATTACACTTTGCATTTTCATATATTGATAACATCTGAGAATATATGTTTGTGACCATGTTGAATAAGGGAACGAATGGTGTGATTGGATCTCCTACAGTTTGGAAAGCAGAGAGTGTCTGACCATCATATTCTTCCAGTAGATGTGCCGAACCAGTCGCATTAGTTGTGCGATAAATTTCCAATGGGATTTCCATTAATTTGTCACTATCTAAAAATTTCTTTTTTATGTAACTTTCTTTATTTAATTCCATAATTTCATACCAATATTTAAATTTTGAATATAAATCTTCAGCTGTAGGTCTTTCTTGCGGATCTGAATCCATACATTGCTTAGCCAATTCAATGTAAAAATCAGGTGTTCCTGAAGCGAATTTTGGTCTTAATCCTTTACAAATCTCAATTGTAAGACTGTTATTATTATCGAATGTATAATCATCATAAGGCTTTTTTCCAGTTGACATCTCGGTCATTATAACGCCTATACTATATATATCAGCTGCTTGTGTAGATTGTTGACCATGCAATACTTCAGGTGAAATATATGGCGTAACTCCATGAATCTTTTTCTTTGAGAGGTTTTCATGATTCATTTTAGATACTCCTAAATCTGAGATATAAGCTTCTTTATTTTCTTGACTTATTAAAATGTTACCACTGTGTAAATCGTTATGAATATATCCAGCTTTATGAATTTGTGCCAAATCAAATGATATGCACTCAAGGAGCTTTAATTTATCACTCCATTTAAGTTTTCCAAAATTCGATGATAAAAATTTGTGAAGATTTCCACCATCAACGTATTGAAATACCATCAAATATTCTTTAGTAATTGTATTTTGAGTTAATCCATACACTTTAAGCCTACTACCCATCAATACACACTGCATATGATTTTTAAACTTGTAAATTACATAGAATTAGTTTATATATATTAAACAAATAAGGCCGCTTAAATTTAAATAGTTGGTCAACGTCATCACCCTCTCGGTTAACTGTTCCTCCTGAAATTAAGCAAGCCAATTGCCATTGACACCGCTTATAGTATTCCCAAAAATCGGGATTAAAGGCCAGAGTATCCCTACCGGACCGTTTCAAGAATAAGACCCGATATTGATTTACTACTTTTAATATGATATATCCCTTAAATATAGTACAGGTCACTATTCAATTTTGGTAATGGGTCCTTGAATAAGACACTGGGAAATGTAGGTGTCTAGTACGAAATCCCGACATCCAAAATCTCGACAGGCCATATACTGACATCACGCGTTGTGACAATTAAAAATTTAAAGTCTGGCGTGTGAATACTAATCTTTAAATATTAAATTGCCATGTAGCGTGATGTCAATATTATGGCCTGTCGAGATTTTGGATGTCGCAGTGGCAAACGGCATAAACTTCATTGATCACGTGATTAAAGTTGACCAATGAGATTTAATCAAATAACCAACTAATCAACTTTAAACGGTCTAAATAAATTTATCTATTAAATAAAGTTGACATACTTCTGAAAGATCAAGAGTGGTATTCTCAGAATCTGGCACAATTTTCAGCGCGACAATGCAAGATTGTTGACGTAATCTCATATTTTCATTTGTTCTTCGTGTACCGTCTAACCAGATTGCTGAAAACACTGAGTTGTGACCGTCTTCACTGATTGTTTGAATATTATTTAGTCTATCAAATGGAATCCATTCAATTACATCGTCATACTTAAGAGCTTTAAGTTGAAATTCTTTAATGCAATAATCAATATTTCTATTCCTGCTTGTCCATCCCTGAAAGATTAAGTCTGGATCACATTTTAGACACCAAGCTGGAGAAGTGTTATGTTGTTTGCATTGTATGCAATTCCCATAGTCAGAGTTACTTTAAATTATATGTTCATGTAGTTTGAATCATCAGTAACTTCATACAATTTGGAATGTCGTAAATAATATGACTAATACACTCACCGACTAAATAAATGCGAGATAAATCATTTAAGAGGTATCGAATAGTAAATTTCAATTGACAGGAAATAGTGATTTCAAATAGATTGATAACAATATTTATACTCACTCTCTATTATTAATATGACAGGAATAAAAATTGTAAGTATTTTTTAATGACAACTCTTAAAAATTAAAAATGCTTAATAGCTTAATTCATAATTGTATTGATGCTCGTGCTTAAATTTGGATATTTTGGTTAGAAATTTACTCATTAGGGTAAAAAAAAAACTTTCTTAGGTCTATTTAGGGTAGTAGTTGTATTCAGATAAAGACCCAAATTCCAGCATCAGATAATTTAAAGCATCACCACAACGATAAATACTCACAAGCTAAATTGAACAGAATTAAATACGATATCATTAATAGTAAATTATTATAAATTGATTTGATTGAACGATCCATATACTCACAATCTAAATCAGGTTGTTTATGTTGGATAATCCTTATGAATTTGAATCGAAGATTTTAAATCGATAAATAAAAAAATGCGATACTCGATACTTACTGACTAAATTAACAAATTATTTAATATTTTTATTGAAATCCTGTCACTATTACTGATTAGAAATATTATATAAATTTGAAGAATCTACTCACTCACTATTTTAAATGAGATATGATTTAATGATAAGTCTTTACGAAATCGTTATTTGAATGATAATATATATTCATTGAAACTTCGCGTACAATGGCTATATATTATCACTTAATGAATTAACGGCTTTACTAAATCACACTAGTGGTGTTCAACATCATAGTTGCTATATCTCACAAACTAGCTAAGTAATTAATGCCTGGTGTTCTAAGTAAAAATGTTCACCCAAAAACCTTACCTTATAATTCATTTAAATTCTTAAATTTAGAATCCCTAACACAAACTTTATTAGTAAGACTATTTAGAAAATATATGTATCGAGCACCACTGGTGTTACTTAATAAAATCGTAAATTAATGTGGTGAAAAATTGCTGATATTTATTACGTAATTTTACTTTATTATAGACTAGTGATGGGCAACCCATCACTACTATAGACTTACTCCCTCATAATAAAAATTTTAAGACAGGGTGGAACCTGAGTTAATTTTTGGATACAAAATTCGAGTTAGGTAATGATGTGCGACAACCTCCGATGCGGGCTTCGCCCTGTTGTAAAATTTGATGCGCATACACTCAACTATCACGTGATTAAAGAATATATCCTTAAACTTTCCAACCTTGGGGGACGTCTAAAGCGGAGGCAACTCATATTTAATAATTTTTTCGATTAACTTTAGGGTTAGGGTCTTCTATATTGGGGTTAGGCTAGGTTTTAGTAGATAAATATAAGCAAAATTGCCTTCCCGACATTTTTGATTAACCTACCTGAGGTAGGTTTAGACTGCCGTTTTTTGTATTTTTCGGGTTTTTTGTTTTTTTGCTTCGCTGGCGATCATCCAAATTCTGTAATTTTATTGGCTGTTGATCACATGACGTGCCTCCGCTTTAGACGACCTCTAACCTTGGTGATGCATTTAAATCTGACCGGTAACCAGCTCTTCGTGACAATCTTTAGATCTTTACATTTACAATGAATTTAAAAACTTACCAATGAAATTAAAGTACTAGCATTTCTATATGATGTTACCGGCCAGTATTTTTTTTTTTAGAAAACAACTTAAATGAAAAGTTTGACCAGTATTACCGACCCATTTTTCGATTTCCTTATTTGGAGGATGTTTAAAGCCATGTGCGGTCTTATGTTTTTGATTTTTTAGTTAAAGTTAGGGTAAGGGTTGGTGTAGGATTAAGGTAAGGATAGATCTTATAGTAAAACTGTCTCCCCGACATTTTTTATTAATGCCCCAAGATAGGTTTAGACACTCGTTTCTTGTATTTTTGACGTTTTTCACTTTTTTCTTCGCCGGGCTGATCCGTGTCGATCAAAACAAACAATTTTATTGGCTCTATAACACGTGACGCACATGGCTTTAACGACTCCCCAAATAAGGAAATCGAAAAATGGGTCGTAATTTGCAAGTATAGGTTACCTAAACCACAACCCTTAAAAATTACGTAACTAATATTAGCGTACCAATGAAAACGTACTTTTTCAACCAAACCTTAGCCTTTTCTGGATCTTTTTTAACACCAATTCCAAATAAGTAGCAAATGCCAACTTTAAACATTCCTTTTGAACTGCCTGCCTCAGCAGATTGTTGATAACAAAGGAATGCACTGTGCTCATCCTTTTCAACTCCGATTCCAAAGTGATAACAATAGCCAACTTGAAAAATTCCGTCAGGATATCCCAAATCAGCCGATTTTTTATAAAGATCAAATGCCACACATTTATCCTCTTTAACTCCAATTCCATTTTCATAACAATAACCAAGGTTGTATGTCCCACTAACATCGCCCATTTTTGCTGATATCTTATAAGAAATGAATGCTTTATATTCATCATCATTATCTACGTTTTCAAGAACGCCTAAACTGAAGGACTCTGATCCGATATCGGTTGTAATGGAATGCTCTGGGTTAATTACGCACCACCTCATTGTAATATTAAATTCATGATTCGGTTGATCCTCCTTATAATGTCGTGAAATCTCTAGATCTATATTAGTTTTTGAACTGCTTATAATTTTACCTCGTATAACTTGATCTTTATCAATATCTTCTGAATCGAAACTAGTAACAAAAATAAATGAATCTGGAAATTCAACGCTTGATACACTTACTTTATGCGTAAGTGATGATTGGCTTGTTGTTAATGACGTTTTTCCGTTCATAATTTTGATGTCTCGAGTATATTTGCTAAAGTAACCATTTCCTTTTGCGAGCATTATCCAAAAAACTTTCGAACCAACTGGGATGCTGCGTGTTCAAATAGTAAAATATTAACAAAATCATTTTCATGTCGCCATTAAAAATCAAACAAAAACATGCCTTTTATTAAGTTTGTGAATTGTAGCTCGACATCCATGTCGGTTTGTTAAATTAAATTGTATCATCACATCTGGAATCCTTTGCATATCAATAGCGACTAAATTGCCGAACATTTCATAATTATCATCTGGAAGTGATCGCGAAAATTGAATATTAATATATGTTTGATTTTCTCGTTTAATTTCTGCAACTCCAGTCATTATAATGTGAATATTATCGGAAATTATATTTTCTACAAAATCCTGCGTAGTTTTTGGTAAAACTTTGTATAAAGGAACCAAATCTTCAAGCTTCACTACTTGTAGCTGCGAATATAATTTATGATATTCTTCGGGATATGTGTAGGGATCTTCAAAGCTTTGTAATTGCAAATATATGTCACAGTCCTTCACAATTTTACCATTGGAGTCCATGAAGAAAGTACATTCATCTGACTTTCCTATTAAATCTCTCCACTCCTTTAGTTTTTCCATAATTAATGGTTGTATTGCATATTTATCTTTCCTTTTCAAGGAAAGATAATCTTCTTCAACTTTCCTGATTGAACCATAAATCCTCGATGCAGACCAACCAAGAATTATCTTTTGAGGCCAAAGGTATCCAAATTTATTAAAAACATTTTGTAGACTATGAAATGGAAAATCATCCCTCATTGCTTTATCTACTGCCTCAATAAGAAACTCCGAAGGTTCAATTTTATCCATATTAATAGCCAATTCAATTTGTTCTAAAACAAAAAAGCAATGAACTTCAAAATTTTGTTTGTGATCAAATATAGGATGGAAACTATCATCTATCAACTTTTCAGGCAAAAACGGAACATCAACATTGTCCAATTTAATACAATTTGCTAAAGTAAACGCCTCCCTTTTGCTGGAAGGCTGTAGCAAACGCATATATGAGTTACTATATTGACGAATGTCAGGTATTTCAATAAATTTAATTGCAACTTCAAGCCCACGCCCCATCTTACAAGGTTGAATGGTCAATCCGTAACGTAAATGTAGATTATTAACCCAATCACATAGATGGATTTTTGGCGAACGTGAAATCCAGGTATTTAGGTTCTTCTTTTCAAAGTTATTCATATTTGAAATAAACTCTTTATTAATAGGATTTTCATCAAACTTTTCAAGATATTTGCGTAGATTCTGCTTAAGCTCATGATCAAACAAGGTATATACCGGAACAAATCTATTGTAAGATATTACATATCCTTCCTTATGATCGTAAAAATTTTTCATCCAGGCCTCTAAACCGTATTCAGAAATAATCTTTTGATTGTTCGCATCCATCATTTTAAAATTGTTAAATTGAACTTGATCAAATACATTAGGATTCCCTGTCATAATTTGATCATAAGTCCAGTATATATGAGCTTTCAGATTCTCCATGTCTTCTTGCGAAAGCGATTCGTGTGATATTGGTTGGACTATAAGTGCACCACCAATGTCAACGCTCTGAGCTATAAATTCACCATATTTCTTAAAAACATTGTCAAGGGCCTTACTAATGGATTCTTGATCTTTCTCATTTAGTGCTTCCTTGATTATTTCAATAAATTTATCGGTAGCCTTAGAATTTATATATTCAACTTGAATAAGAGGAATATGCAAACGAATGCTGATCTCTTCCGCATCTTTATTAGAAGATACATTACTTCTACTTAATAACAAGTTTGCTAAATTAACTCTATTTCGGTTTGTATAAATGTGAATAATTTCATTCTTTTTTATATATCTTATCATGCCATCTACTGAAAGAACCTGTTCCCCAGGAATTAAGTCATTTCTATGAATATTTAGTCCTTTATATAAATTCCAACGTTGTAAAAGCAATTCCTTATCAATCCCTTGTATGGTTAAATCATAAATCTCAGCTTCATAACTTGAAATGTCTTTATTAATTTGAAGATCTTCATCTATAATATCAAAATCATTAAAATTCGTATCAACAACTTTAGGCATTTGGTAATCGTTTTCTATGACATCGTTTATATTTGCTGTTTTAAGAATTTGTAGTGCCTTTGAGCAATCTGGGCGTTTGTCTAGACAATTAAATTCAATACATATAATAAGTATACACGGTTTCGATGCCATTTTTATGGATTTGGTAGATTTCCCCGACAACCATTTCCACTTCACCGACGGCCATTTCACCGACAACCCACTTCCTCGAAACTATTTCCCCGACAGCCCATTACCCGACAGTTTATTTCACCGACACTAGCCAACATTAACTATAAAGCGGGCCAACCCTAACCAAAAATCGGGCTTAAATTGCCGGCGAGATGAATTGTCGGGGAAATGGTTTCGGGAAGGTGGGGGAAATAGTTTGACGGTGAAATGGCAGTCTGCGAAATGGGTGTCGGGTAAATGGTTGTCGGGGAAATTGGTTTATACCCATTTCCATTTGGGATATGTTTGAACGGTTATAATAGTAACGAAAGTTCATACCTGGATCATCTTCCCAACATTTCTGATATAATTCAAAGTATTTTTGGGGGGTCTTATGAATAGCCTCTTCTCTTATACCACTAATAATTCTTGCGACCCTTATACCATATGGTATACTTGCATAAGGTGTTTTTCCACTGGAAATTTGCCAGAGCAATACTCCAAAACTATAAATATTTGATTTTTGAGTGATTGATTTTTGAGCGCAGCTTTGAGAATAATTGAATTGTTCATCGTAGTTTTTCAATTCCTGAGGATCTATATATGGAATTCTTTCTAAATAATCCTTTTGCCTGAATATGGTGATGGCTCCAAAATTGGTTATTTTCAGAGTGTCTTTATGAATAAAAATATTTTTTGGATTCTGATAATTTAACGGAAAAAATGGTTGATATTGCATAACGTATAATTACAGATTTTTTTACAGTAAAAAAAAAAAAAAAAAAAAAAAAAAAGTCACCAAATCAAAATGTACGATTTGTCGACTATGTAAAAAATCCAACCCTCTTGCTAGTTGAGCTGCAATATCTATTTTTTGGTTCCAATTAAGTACATTATTCTTTAAATAACAATCTAGATTCCCTTGATCAGCATATTCTACAAGTAAGTAATATTCTTCACCCATACCTTCAAAAAAAAAAACGAACAAAAATTAAAACTAGAAACAATTATTATTGCAAAAAGTAAACAAGATTGAGCTTTTGTAAAATATTTTATATTTGCCAAATTAATCACAGAGCGCATCTTAAATTTATTTATTCATTTGTATATAATAATTGATACTTACAGAAGAAGGCTTTAAGAACATTATCATGGTCAAGAATATTTTTATGGCCCTTTATGAATGAAATATTTTTATAAATACATACAGTAATGCATAAGAATATATAATTAATAAACGAGCTTTACATTAGAAGATAAAATAGCCTCAATTTCTGTCTCGTTAATATCTTCTTCGTAAAAATCTGCTAGACTATGTTTTGTTACTATTAAATTTGGAGCATTCTTTAAATTAAATCGCTTGTTCTTGACAATGACATTTAAATCTTTAGATTTAATGAAATTAGTGTTTTTTTCATCTAAAAACTTTTCTAAGTGTACCATTATCTGTTTTGTTCTAAGCAACGCAAAGTAACCATTACGATATTGTTTAAATTACAGCATATGGGCGAATATGCGGAATCATGCGGGCCCATGCAACAGTGGACTTAATACATTCAGCAGGGACAGTGCCCCCTATGTAGATCTTCGTTTAACGTTACACAACTGTTAAAAAATTTTATTTATATTATTTTAAAGTACTTCGAACATCTTGTATTACTCGCTTGCGTAATAACCTAAGCACCAATAGGTTATTAAGTAAACTTGAAGCTCTTGTATTGTAGAAAGCAAATATCGGTTGAATCCACTTGAATCCAACGACCTTAAGTTTGTAATCAAAATGGCAGATGGTAAAACATGCTTAGAGTGTAAGACAACTGTTTCCCAAAGGTTTCGGCAGTTAGGTGACGAAATGTGGCAAGAAGTTGTAACTAAAGGTTTG